CGCAGGCCCCCAAGATCTCCCCTGCGCCTTGTCCCATTTCTCCTTGGGGCTTGGGAGGCACTCGAGAAGGGGACAGTGCTTGGGAGCCCGGGAGGGGACGCCGGGAGGTAGTGGCGAGCGAGGGGGCCGTTGGGGGGAAGGGGCTGCTTGGCTGGGGGAGGGGCAGGCGCCGGGGCTGGCAGCCAGGCCAGGGGTTTTGTGTGCGAGAAGAATAGGGGTTTGGCCCGCGTTGGCACACTCGCTTCCCGGAATGCTAATGGGGCCCGCGGCCGCCGGCGACTCTCCGCTCGGCCGGGCCCGGCCGCCCCTCCTCTGACCCGCGGCTGGGAGTGGGCGTAGTGAGCCGCACTGTGCCCCGCTCGTCGGGCTGGGGGACGCGGTGGCCCAACGTCTTCTTTCTGGTAGCCGCACCTGATCGTCAGCGTGTGGCCGGGTTCTGCGTGCGTGTTCGTGTGCGTGTGCGTGTGTAAGATATTCTTCCGTTAAGTTTCTGCCCAGCCACTTTGCACATGTCCCCTTTGATATTTCCCCCCTTTCCCTCCCTGGGGTTTTCTCTGAGTTCTTCAGCCGGAAAGGGCTCCTCTCTGCTCCCGCTGCCCCTCCGTGGCACCCCGCCCTCTCCCCTACCTCCTGCCCGCTTAGAATGGCCCATTTGTTGCCCTGGATTGAATGACTGACTGGTGCGATGATCCAGCTGTCTATGACAGTGTATGGCTGTGGTCACATTGGGAGTGTGAATGTGATCACAGGTGTGTGGTCTTAAAGGTACCCAGTTGGGTGGCTTGGCTGAGCATTTGGGAAGAGTCCCTCAGTGGGACCGTAATGGGACCAAGTTGTTTTGTTGGGGTGACAAGCACCTCCGTGTAACTGCTGGGGACCGTGTCCCCTGGATGTTGGTGTGTGTGTGCCCCTGTGGCTGAAACCTGTCCCCAGAGAAGGGAAGGCTCTGCCTTGGAGGTGAGTGAGATGCTGGTAGCAATGCTGGAGCTTCTCTCCGTAGTCCTCTCCACACACAGTGGAATAGCTTGCCCCACCAATACAAACTACACACACACATACACACACACACACACACACACACACACACACACCCCCCTAGCTTGCCCCACCAATACAAACTACACACACACACACACACACACACACAC